AACAACTTTGCTTTGAAACTGATGTTCAACTGCAAAGACATTTGGTTCAGGGCTCACTTGAAATCAGTTCTCGGTCTGCTTGAAAATTTGGCAAGCTTCAACTGAGCAATGGTCCTTGGCTGTGGTTCAGATACCTACAGAAATTTTGAAAACTGAGTCGTTTCAGCAGTTTTCAGGCTTAAAGTGGGTCTTTTGTAGATATGTCAGGTGTTTAGTGACTGCTATAACAGAGATATTAAAATAATAGTAAGTCCTTTACAGAAGTTCTGATCTGCTCTCTTCTGAAGAGGACATCCAATGAACTGAAAAGTTTACTCTCTTTTGAATTAACTTTTAGTTTTTATCACATCCTTTTAATTCTTTTTTAATAGAAAAGAAGTGATAAGCATGTTTTCTTGAATTTCAGGGGATAAAAGTCCATACTTAGGTTCTTTTTTAAGTCTTCTGTCAGCTTTTTTCTCCAATCCATGTCTAACAGCTTCAAAAGGACAGAGTAACTTGCATCCCTGACAATCTGTTGGTCTATACTCACTTATGTATGAGGCTAACTCAAACTCACTAAGAATCACATAGAGTTTTATAGCCTTTGTAACCAACATCAATAAATTAAATTGGCTAGAACAAATAAGGTGACAAAGGGTAATGATGAGTGGCAGAAGAAATGAAAATCCTACAATTTAAAGACTGATAAAATCCTTGGTGACCATCAGTTACAGTAAGTGTATTTTCAAGGAGATATTTTATAATTTCAGACTTTTTATTAGCGGGCTCAATTTTACCATCTTGTTCAAAGGATAACAGGGCATGATGACCTTTTATTTGAATGAACTGCTTCAGCCCTTCTGACTTTTGCTAGCGCAAAAGTCTGATGCAGAAAAATGCAGCTGTACAGACACATGCATACTCTTTTGACTTGTATTTAACATTTTAATTTTGTTTCTCAGGGGGAGGGGGAGAAAGCCTAATTTGTCTTTTAACTGTATTGCTCTGATAGCACTCTCACTGGCTGCTGTTCAAAATCAATATTAACAGTCGAAGGATTTTATTTGCTTGAGGAAATTGGCAGGAACCGCAATAGCTTTTCCAGAACACCTCTCCATGTGGGTACTCAGAACTACTGTTCGTTTCCCTGGGTAGATAAGCTCTGAGTCAAATACACGTGTATTTTGCTGCCTCCTTACAAAGTGTCCAAGGAAGTTAGCAGAAGTCTCAAAGAAGTAAGTTTTCTGTGTAATTTATGCACTATGCACAGTTTTTTACTATTTGCATAGTTCTCAGAAACTCGGTATTCTGGATCTGAAATAATTCCTTTAGCTGAGTAGGGAAGGCTGGAGATGGAAGGCTCTTTTACCCTGCAGTTTAGCCCACACAAAGTGTTTTTGCCCTCTTGCTTTTGCCTACCCTACCTCCTTTCCCTCCCCTGGCCTTGTGAGAGGCAGAAGATGAATAACCCCTTGCATACCCTAAAGGAGGTAGTTAAGGTTTCCACCTCAGGGGCTCCTTAAGGTTAAATGAGAGATGAACCGTTCCAAATTTCAAGAGGAGATGAGCCTTTCTTGTAAAGCAAAACTGACTCAGTAAAATTATATGAGTGTTTTCAATCCAATTTTAGATATATTGCTTAGTTTCAGTATAATCAGACCAGTTATAGCAACTCCTCATTTATAGCAATTACAGCAGAAAAAAATCCTTTAGTTCGGTAGTAATCGCCTCTGTGAGAATTAACATACCACACAAGACCAATGCTGAAGACAGTAATCCTGTTTGTCTTGCCTTTCCCAGTAAATGCTATATTTAATATCTAAATACATGATCTTACTCTTTCAACATTTAAATGGAGTTCTGAATATGAAATTGTCTCCCTAAAAATATTGTAAAAGTATGATCAAGTAAAATTTGATCTGTCTTTATAATGTTGATTTGGCAAATGTCAAGCCCATTATTGGGAACAGCTTTCCAAAATAACAAGCATTCCTTCAGATCTCAGGAGTTTGCTGTACTGAGGCTAGCTGGTTTTTAGTTTCTTGACAACTTTCTGTGTGGTGACTCATCTGATTTTTAATAGATATTGCATAACAGTGGTTTTCATTGTACTTGTTTTGTTTTCCACCATATGGAGTTTCTCAATAAGAATATACTTTAGAAGAAGGAGCTGATGTAAATGCACTGTTCCTTTACAATTCTTTGTTTTTGGAAAGGTGAACAAAGACAAGTTATTATTCATATGCAGAATGAATAACAGGTTAAGGGCAATGGAACTGTCAGCACTTAATTTTGTGTGCTTTTTTGTGGGAGATTTTGGTACTTCTGAGTATTTCAAAGAACAGAAAATCCAGTTAATTCCAACTATCATTAGGCTAAAAAGTTCTCTCTTACATCGTGTACATAAATAAATAGACCTCTCAGTACTGGACATTACTGAAAACAGCGAAAGGGGGTTTCAGACTAAAAGAACAGATGATTGCGCTGTAGATACACGCTAGACGAATTTTCTTTAATAGTGATTTGAATTTTGCACAATTTTCTTTTGTAGGGTATTGGGATCTACAAAGCTGATTAAGTGTGCTTTCTCCCACATCCACCTTTGCACAGCTCAGTGGCAGCTTGCCCCTCCAGCTTCTGACGCACTTTTAGTCCTTGCTCAACGCCATAATATTTTTTAGCTCCAGCCTTCATCAAGCTTCTCTTTTGTTACTTTGTCCATGGATAATCTCGCTTGAAACCCTACATTTTATCTCAAACTGGGTGGCAGATGACCTTCTTTTGAACGCTTTAGTTATCTCAATAATAAAGACAACTTACTTTATGAATTGGAGAAAAGCTGCTTGCTGCTGTTTGGCTGCATTCTAGAGCTGAACTGATGAACTGATTAAAGCACAGAAATTTCAAATACCTTTTCTTACCTCTTTCTTTCTCTAACCTAAACACTGCCTGAAATCTTTGAGTTACTATGTCCTCTTGAAAAACGTGGATTCACAACTCATGGAAATAATGTTTTGTTATTTTTAGAAAATGTGAACTTGCTTCAGAATTTGATTTATAACTAAAAATATTCTAAATAATGTTTAATATTTGATTTACAGAAATCTTTAGCAAAATTGCAACTATGAACCCATGATTTTTTAGGAGGAAACAAAAGCAATTATATTTATGGATTAATTCATTAGACGATTCAGCTGTTCCACTTTTGAAAGTACAGGACAGTGAGCTGAGATCATGAAAGCAAAATTAAACAATCTTTCATTTAAATAAAAGTAATTAGCTTTAGCTCAAGTGAAAAGAAAAAGACTATTTTTAAAGAAAATTAACAACATACTCAAAAGTTCTTGTTCTGTTCTAAGAACAGGTGCAGAGTAGGTATATCATATTCATCAGCTTTATTAGAGTGCAACACTGTAAGGCTCAAGTTTATAATGCCATAATTAATTAACTAAATATTTTCCATTGGCTTTACCTTTGGCATCTTAATATGAGTTTTCATAACCCTTTATTCTCCTCATTGTCATCTGACCTAAGCTTTCACTACCCATGAGAAAAACTAGGGATTTGTGTTTGGTCTCAGCTTCAGCAAAGCTCATTAAAGTGTAAAGCTTGAGCTTGTTTTGTTATGGATTTTCTCTTGTTTCCCCCTTTGTTAAATGCCATAAACCTGAAAACAGGTGCGTTGGCTCAGTTGGCATATTTTCTGCTTGCTCTCAAATGGTTCTTAGCAAAGATGCATAGGATAATGCTACACTATCTCCTATCCCGCAGTGTGGTTTGAGTTTTCTAATATCCTAATAAAATTGCCAGCAGACAGAGTTCTAGCTATTCAAAGTAAGCAACATTTTACTTTTCCATGCAAAGACAATTTCCTAGCTTTGCCCCAGAGTAAGACTAAAGTCAAGGATGCAATCTGAAGTTGGCCTAAGTCCAGCAAAGCCTCTGTACAAATTCTACTGTGCTATGAACACCTCAGCCTCCACTAATATAGACTGAAAAACAGCTGTGTAAATTATGTCCTCTGTTTGTAATGACCATTCTTCAGAATTCTCAGCTAAAGTGGTATGCAGGTACAGCAATTCTGATATCCATCTTCTGTACCAAGGCTTATACTGTAAGCTTAGAAAAAGAGGAAAAAAGGTTTAAGGAATCACAAAACTTCTGTTAACTCATGCCATTACTTAGCTTCCGGGGTTAAAGCCTTAGCAATCCACAGAACAAGTTAAAATGGGGTTTATTTCCACTGCAAATGGTAGGTTTAAATTTTTATTTATTAGCAAAAATAAAAGTGTCCAGTTTTCTGGTAATTAAATAATTTGATACATTGAGACATTGCCTATAAAGAGCATCCTACAATAATTATGTCATTACCGTAGATGTGATATCACTGTAATATGACTCGGTGTGGTAGAGTTTATGTGTTTCTATTACGGACCCCTGATATTTTACATTTAAATTAATATAAAACAGTAAAAATATAAAATGCAAAAATATAATAAAATAATAGCAACAACAAAGGTAAAGTCTGAGGATCTACCATTTCTAATTTGAATGAAGACAAACGTAAACTCTTTAGAATAAAAAAAGAATGTCATTGTTATGAGATTGTGATCTTACTCTGGTAAAGAAGTAGTTCTAAAAATTACTTAGTCTATTAGGTAGAGACCGTGTTCTGCCAGGGTAAAGTGGTATTTCAGGAGATGAATGTAATTTTTGGACACAGAAGTAGAGACAACTCAATTAGAATGGAAAAGATTATTTAACTCTGTAGAAAATACTCAGCTGCCTCTGGAGTACTGGCTTATTAGACTCTCTGAATTTTTTCAGAGGTTTGATGGGCTTTGGAACAGTATTTAAGAATCACTTGATGTCCAGAAAAGACATACTAGTTAGAAAACCTAAGGAAACTCAAACGGATTAGCATATTGAAAAGCAGGTTGGAGGCTTACATGATTAGTCTTCTAGTATTTACCTTCTAGAATAAATTTCTAATAATAGGCTTCTATTTTGTCTAACAGAGAATCACATAATGAGAGCCAAATGTTGGAAAAAAACTTCAGACTAGAAATATGAACAACCCTTAGTAGAGATGGTAAGTAACATCGGATAGCTGTACTTAAAGGCAATTAAAATTGTTAATGTGTTTCCCACTCAACTTGGAAAGTAGGAACAGGCTTTCTCTGCACTGTGTATACTTTATCTTGCAGCAATTTCTGATTTTCCCCTTTGACTTCAAAATGGACGCATTTGTCACTGACAGAAACCAACATCCCCCCTTCCTCCCCATTTAGGGGTTCATGGAGCAGTGGTGCTACCTTAAAAAAAATCTTGCTTCTAAAAGACTCTATGAATGCTTATGAATTTTGCCATTAAAAGCAAAGATAAACCATCACAGTGCATTTCTGTATTGTATGTGCTGGTTACATAAGAGCCGAAAAACCTCCAAATACTCTGAAACTGTGGTGACTGGGAGATTGCTTAAATTTAAACTAAATGGATTGATTTATTAGGAAGTGAATCACACACACTTGGATGTCCCTCTGCTACTCTTCAACACTGTTTTATTATTTTGCTAATTCTAGAATGCTGTGTTCCTTCTCAGCGGAAGACTATTGAGTATCAATACGAATTTGTTTTCCTACTTGCTGGGCATTTGTTTTTCCAGACTTCTCCTTTTCAGAACTGCTAAACAGCTTTTGCTCCTTATCTGTTTCCAGCTACTGGTGCCCAAGAAGCTATAAATGAGAGTTTTCCAGCAGTGTCCATTACAGTGGATAAAATTTATGGGGGAAGATCCACTGTAACTTATCACCACCACCCCTGTTGCAGCCTCTTTGCTTAGAATGCTTAGCTCTTCCTAGCATGCTGGAGGTTGCTGAGGTAGACCTTGTGAAGATGCAGACCTCTTGCTCCAAGTCCATGCTCAAGACCTTTTTTGCCACCGTTATCGGAGTCCTCCTGTAAAAGGAGAGCTATGACCTCCCACAAGGTGGAAATAAACATCCTCGGGCACAAGGCACACTCACAGAGGTGCATGCAGCAAGGTGTCCTCTCTTCAGACACCTGGCCTTGACCATAACAGGCTCTGCCTTGCACCCATCAGAAACTTGACAACTGAAAGAACTATTGACCACCAAAGAACAGCCTCCTCTTCCCCTAATCCTTCTTTTTTTTTTTTTTTTTCTGTCTCCCATCACCTTTGTTTTGGTTCTTGCCCTTCCCCTTCAGCCTGAAGAATCATTAAACAATAACAAATGTAGGAAAGGCCATTTTTAAAAAGTATAAGAATTCTTGTTTCCTTGTTATCGATATTACATGTCACTTTTGGTCAGGATTTCCAAAGTCTCATTGACTTCAGATGGAGCAAAGTTGAGTGCTTCTCATCTCACATCTTTTTTTTTCTGTCCTTCCTTCTCCCCAAATGACAACCTGTGGAAGAGGAATCTGTATGCTGAGATGACATCTATATAAGTCCAGAAGGGACATTTCATGTAGGGAAAATTAGAACATTCACCTTCCAACAAGGTACTTTTTTTAGAAGGAAAAGTCTGCATAGTTGTCTTTCAGTATTGTAGATGATTAGAATCTAAAGAGATCCTAATTGTTGCAACACATGCACATTGTGAGATGCTTTGGATAGTTAATAAATAACTTGTGCTATTGCTGAATTTTTGATCTCCCCAAAAGAGCGGGAAAGTCAGCTTTAATACCTCATAACCCAAATCTACTGAAGCTGATATGAATATTTCACATTCCTTATTTGTCTGCATTACTATATGCTATACAGTTGCAAGCATAATAGTATACTTGATTTATACCAAGATAAAACTTTTTAAAATTCAAATTCTGAAAGGGAGATTCAGTTTGGATCTCTAATTTCAATTGGTTTGGGTCAATACACTTTCCTGCTGTCCCAAACTGTAATTCACATTACAGCATCTGAAATTTTATTCTTCATGAAAATTTTTCTACCAGTGGAAGCCATGCAGACTGAGCAAGCACACAATTTTCTTTGGGAGGGCTACAGTCTTTATCAGTCTTTCTACTATTGAAAGATTTCATGCCACAGCAAGCTGCACACATCATCACCCTCATACAGTTAGAAAGCTGCTTGCTGAAATCCATCGCAAACCAGACCGGAGTCGACCTGGCATGTAATGAGCTCACCCAGGGGCAATGCAATACAGATCTTTATCTTGAAAGTAAAATCTATCCTGGCACTAACATTTATGTTTTAATATAAAACTGTGACATTACATAGGTTTTATACTCCCTTGATTTGTGTTTATAGCACAACAGAGGATTATTTTCCTTTGATGGATTATGCTCTTTGGTACTCTCAGGTATGCAAACCGAGCTTACTTTATGATAGTTGCTAGGGTGTTTTTATTTAAATATTGTGCATTGTTTTGGAATTACTTTTTTCAGTTTCTGGATATTTACAAAATATCTACAAATCATATTTAGCTTTAGTATCCCATCTGATACAAAACTATTTTGACCTGAATCTCAGTTAGAGGAATTGTGTTGTAAAGGATGTTTTAATTAAAAAGAGAGAAATGTGACAGTACACTCACAGCTGATTTTACAAAGGTAAAAATAAATGAGATTTTTTACATGTTACTCTTTCCCTTCTATCCAATGGATGTATATTCTAAATAACAGGCTTCTCTGAGCTGTCTTTTCCTGTTTTGTGGAGGACAAAAAGGGAGGGTAGGGAGGGAGAGTTTAAAAATAAAAGAGAAAAAACTACCACAATGCAGAATAGTATTTGTGGTTCCTCAAAACTCTCCTTTTCCACTGGTTGTGGCAGGCACTGCTGGGCTTCTTTTTTCCATTCTCTCGTTCTACACTATTTTATCCTCTTTTAAACTCTGAAGTTTACAGAAGTTCCTACATATTCTAACAGGGTGCTGGAGTCTGCTGAGGTCTACTGAAAGCCATTTTGGAATGATGAGATAATCAAACCAAATTTTTGCTGACCTCTTTCAGTTTTATTAAGGCACAGTCAGGCTAATAGGAATAGCATTTCAAAATGTAATGTCAGGAAGCGGGAAATGCAAGCTAACTGCAGGTCTTGTGGCTAATCTGGATGCAAGACTTTGCAAAGAAAACATATACTTATTAGTAAAGTAAATCCCCACAACTGTGGCTTCAATTGTATCATCAAGTTGGTTTCTGCATTCATCTAAGGTCCTATTTCACTCATTGGCTTTACTGCATACACATTAACTTGCTTGTGGGCTCCATTTTGGTGTGACTCTACTACTTCTTTTAGTGAGAAAGCTTGAAAGACAAACCAGAGAAGATTTTCATGTCAACACTGATACTCTGCAAGAAAGGTAACCAAAGAGACTGGGTTTTAGGGAACAGGGTAATTTATTCTACATTTCTTACATACCTATAGGGAAACATGATGGATGAGAAAGCAAGAGGAGCCAGGGTGCAGGTAGAGGAGCCAAAACTGAAGTTTAACCATGAGCCTTGCTGATTAGTATTTCAGGTTTCCATAAGAGAGATGGGTCTGCCAGACTTCCATCTAACCTGCAAGACTTTGTCCCTCGCATTTTAAGTCAAGTTCTGGCTGTGCTCATTGGATGAGAGAAGAGTTTATCCTATTTTCCTGTCTCAGGAGACCAGTCCCACATCCCCCACACCATGGTATTCTGCATGATGCAGCTGTGTGTTTTGGGTGTAACTGCACAGCCTCCCATGGTAAACTCCTGTCAACCTCTTTCCATTTACTATATAAAGTGCCTATGGAGACATTTCCCCAAGTAGTGTGAAAAATTCCACTCACCAGTACATTAATGAATGAAGCTTTGACCTACAGCTTAAGAGACATCCCCTCTCCTTTCTCTCCTTTTCTCCTGTCTCTCCCATGCCCTTCTAGTCCAATGTAACCTTTGGAGCTCACTGAGAAGGAAGCCAGTCATAACATTCTGTTTTGTCTTGTAGAAATCAGTCAGACCTTTTGTTTTCCAAGCACTTCAATGACAAATTTTCATCAAAACAAAATTCTGGAAATAAATATTTCACTTCTAGGTAATGGTAACATGTAATCCTTTCTCTTCTTCCTGTTGAGAATTGAAAGTTTTTCATACATTGTGAGAAGAGGAATCACAAAAAGATTTTGTTCTTCTCCAAAGTTACACAGTGGCATTTTAGGCTGAAAGTTTGCAAGATGCTTGGTAATGGTAATCGAAGCAGACTATAGAAGGTTAATATGATAATGGTATTTCCGTGGATAGTCTTGTCTACAACTAACAAAACCCATGGTGGATGTCCTAGATATGTGTAGGCTTCTGTTATGTACTTTGAATGTTTGCTTATATTTCAAAATTGATTATAGGTAGACAGGTTATTTAATCAGAAACATATTAAACGTATCAGGGTATAAGACACCATTTGTATTTGCTGTGTCTAATAGAACAATTAATTATATATACCCAAAGTACAGATTTACAGCAAGTTTAGAAGATTTTCTTCCTATGTCACAAATTCTTGGTCCTAATAGTATGTATTGACTGTTTTACTTGTAAAAGGACTTACAAATATTTTTACTGAAAGAAGAAATCAAGCTTTTCCACTCTGGATTGGAGAAACCTCTGTTTGGTACATCAGCATGGTGGAGGTCAGGAATTAATGTTTCAGGAGAAAATATAAGTATCAGGCATTACCTAGACAGAGGGTAATTTGCACTGCAGCATTAAGTTTAACTTTGAGTTTGACTAGAAAGAGATATATGTAAAACTCAAGGCAGGTGGCTTGATACTTTTTTTTGGTAATCAGTAGAGTGCAACAAGAAGAACTTCCAAGCTTATTTGAACATCACCTTCCCTCTTGAATCTGGGTAGGCTTATAGCTTGAGTGACCTGCTGTCCAATTAGGCAATTGTAGACTATGAGAGAACATTTCCATTCCCTGGTTTTGAATTGCCATTAAATAACTCTTCACTACCTTTCCGTGTCATGAAAAAGCCCTCTTATTTTATTTTTTCTCTTTCTTTTTCTAGTATTACGAAATGGAGAACAGTAACATTACATGGAATGCAGCTTTCAATCCGTAGGTTGTTCCCCTGGGGAAGATACCTTTCACAGCCTTAGCTCTTCACAAGTGCTCTCTCATATTGTGGTTAATTGCTCTGGCTTCTTGCAACTGATCCTCAGATGAGTCCTTTCTCCGCCAGCTTCTGCTGTGGGTAGTCTTCCTAAAGACTATGGTATATTTAGCTACCTTGTGAGGGTGGTCTTTCTTTCATGAGCCTTCCCCATAGCTATTGTTTATACTTTCAGTGGGTGGGTTTGCTGATGTGTCTTTCTGAAAAAAAGCTGTTAAATAAGATGTTGAATAATATTCTTTAAAGCTGTTGTGTATGGATGGCAAAAACTTTCCAATCTGAAGGGAAATCTAGGAATTTTTCTTGTGGTTGTCTGTTCATTATCTCTTCATGAGAGTAATGCCCTTTATAATAGTAGGATTTATGGGATTTTAAAAATAAACCTGTGAAGACTTTATTTCAAACTGCAGTAGAAGTGATGAGACATTATTACTGTACTTGTTGTTGTAGTGAAACTCAACATCTGACTATTTTTTTTGCATTCTATATTTTGTTTTGTTCAATGTTGATTTTTTTATATTTACACTTACAGACATCAACTGAAACCCAAGTCAGTGACTATGCCAAGACAGAGGTGGCATTTATACAAGGAGTACTAACAGACAAATGTAATTTACTGGGCACTGAGATCTGCTGGCATGGCACGACTGATGTCTAAACCTCCAATCTCAACCTTCAATCCAGAGGGCTGCATACAAGCTGTGCGTTGGGAATGTTCCATGGAGCACACTGACTGGTAAACCATGCCTAAATCCATGGAAACTGATAGCTTAAAACTGAATAAATTTCTTAATGATAATGTGTAGTGCGCTGACCCTGGCCAGATGCCAGGTACCCACTAAAGCCACTCTCTCCCTCTCCCTCTGCAAATAGATAGAGGAGAGGAAAAAAAACAGCTAAGAATTCATGAGTTGAGCTAACAGCTGGGAGAGGTCACTTACTGATTACCTTCATGGGCAAAACAGACTCAAAGTGGGGATATTATTTAAATTTATTACTAACAGGATAAGAGCCAAAGAATGAAAAAGAAAACAATCTAAAAAACACCTTCCCCCCACACCTCCTTCCTTCCATGTTCTCCCTCCTCCCCCCCAGCAGTGCAGGGGGATGGGGAATGGGGGTTATGGTCAGTTGTTGTTTCTGCTGCTGCTCAGGGAGAGGAGTCCCTGCTCCTGTGGGGTCCCTTTCGCAGGAGACAGTCCTTGATGGACCTCTCTGGCGTGACTCCATCCCCTGAGCAACAGTTCTTCACAAACTGCTGTCCTGTGGGTCACTCCTCCATGGGGTGCAGTCCTTCACAGATGAGCTGTGCTAGCTTGGGTCCCCCACAGGGGCCACAAGTCCTACCCGGGAAAAACCTGCTCCAGCGTGGACTTCCCTCTGCACGGGCCGCAGGTCTCCAGCAGGACCCTGCTCCATCTTGGGCCTCCCACAGGGTCACAGCCTCCTTCATGCATCCACCTGCTCCATGGGCTGCAGGTGGGTCTCTGCACCCCGATGGTCCTCCATGGGCTGCAGGGGCACAGCTGCTCCACCATGGTCTGCACCTTGGGCTGCAGGAGCCTCAGCTCCAGTGCCTGGAGCACCTCCTGCCCCTCCTTCTGCACTGACCTTGGTGTCTACCTTGTTGTTCCCATGTTCTTACTCCGTTCTTCCCTGGCTGGAATTCTTTCCGTGCCACAACCTTCTGTTCTTAACTATGTTATCACAGAGGTGTTACTATCACTCCTGATTGGCTTGGCCTTGGCCAGCGACAGGAAGTCCGTTCTGGAGCAGGCTGACATTGGCTCCGCGGGACAGGGGAAGCTGCTAGAAGCTTTCAGCAGAAGCCACCCCTGTAGCCCCCCCCTACCAAAACCCAACCACAGAAATGCACTACATAATGATAATTTATTGAAGGGTTTGAGTGATTTTAATTAAGGACATTATATTGTTGTTCCGATAAATAAACCTTTGATATTATGCTGGATTGAGGAAGATAAATTTTCTCCAGATTTCATGATCTATCTTGACATTGTCTTTCTGATAAGAATGTGAAGTTGAAAGACTAGCATTTAAATTAAAAATTGCTGCTCCTGAGTTGTACTAGTATATGAAATAAAGATGCATTTCACATGTAGCTGCAAGCTGTGCTTTCTGCTATTACTGTGATTATATTATGATGGACATTAGGACTGGAAGGGATGTTGAGAGGTTTTCTTGTTCTTCCTCTGACCAACAAGGGGAAACAATGGCAAAGTATTTCCAGTGATGGAGAATTTCTGATCTCCCCAAGTACATATTCCGGCACTTAACAGTTGCCTCTGGAAAATATTTTCCTAAATTTCTTTTGCTTCACTTTAAATCCTCTGTGATACAAAGAAAAAAAATAAATCTAAGTAGTCTTTCACACCTAATCTGCTCATTTTAATTGTCTTTTTACTCATGTATAGTACATGAGAATGTTTATGCAGTCAACCGTTCCTACATAAGGCTATTGAGCTGTTATTTATTTTAGACAATTTCTGTAATTCTTTTAATTCTTCGAAATTCTCCTCACTCAGGAGAGAATGCTTGCAAGTGTAATAAGTAAACCTACTATTCTCTCCCAAGGCAGACATGACTGTGACATGGAGTTACCCTTAGAATAGACCCTTTAGAGACTCTTTCAACACACCCTTCTACTTATGCAATGATAAAAAAATTTTTGACTTATATTTGAGTGCAATTTTGAAATCACTAAGTGTGTCCTTTAGGCTAGTTTTTGTAATCTGAATAGTCAGTCATGCCACAACCCTCATGTTGCATATTCAAAGCCCTGTGTTACTAAAGCTGAGGGTGGGATCAGGATGTGCAGGACAGTAACTATTGCTGGGAAAACTTCACAGCACTTGGAATGAGATGGAACTGCAATGTTGAATATTGTTTCTCAACCTCACATCTGAAGATGGCCGATTTTATCCTGATCTGAGTGTTGGATGGCTGGATGTATGATACAGGAAAGCAGGTTTCTCAGAGGAGAGGAAGCCTTCCTGAAGAGACATGGGATGTGGAAAAGGGAAGAAATTGAGGGAAGAGAACACTTGAGAGGTTAGGGTCACTGGTGATGGCAAAAAGGCACAAAAAAAGAGTTAACAGTGTTTCAGCTGGTATACCTTGTCCTGTTTGCTCTACCTGTTTTGCTAGAAAAACATTTTAGGAACACTGGTTAATATCATGTTCTGTTCTGCTCACTGGACCAAAGTCCTTATTATAGAAAGAATAGGAGTAGTATACACAAGGTAATAAATTAGGTAAACTAGACTTTTGAATGAGATGTAGAAGGCCCAGAGCCAGGATTTTGCAAGCTTGAAGAATTCAGGTCACCTAATTTGAAGAGGTCAAATAGAGGAAGATGTCCATGGTGACCACCAGAGGGATAAAGGCTCGAAGAGAAGACCCCCCCAGTAGAAGACTGCACGTCTGTAAAGACTCCGCCCAGAGACTAGCCTACTTTTTAATATGTATGTTAGATGATGTAACCATGCATCTAAAGTGTATAAAATGGCTTAATTTTGCACTTTCAAGTTGAGCAAGTTTGCCCAGCACAAGCTGGCTTGCTCCCAACATTGAATAAACAAATACCTTGCTGCTTAAAGATGCAAAAGTCTCTGAGTAGTTAATCATCCCGAGGTTTTTTGGTGTCACTGGGGGACCCTAAGGAAGACTAGACTTGGAATGGGGAGTCTCTGCAGTGTCAGGAAAGAAAAGTCTATCTAGCTGATACTGAAGGAGTGAGGGGATGAGGAGAGGAAAATCATTCCAGAGGAGAAACCTTATCTGTCTTCTCCCACAAAATCTCCCTGAAGGCCTGAGAATGACCTTTGAATTCCTTAATCCTGACCATTGCTTACATCTCTAGACTTCCTTCCCCCATCAAAAAACTCATGCATCCAAAAGTCATTTTCACCATCCCTTTCCTATAGCACTTCCCATTCTCAGTACCATCAAAATATTGAATTGTACTGCCTTCTGCTTTAGTCGCTTTGCCTTTATCCACTATAAAATTTTTCAGTTTTTCTGTACTTCTGAGATGCCTTTGAATAATATGAATAGCTGGGACTGCTTGGAAAATGAAGAATGTCTCTGGGCATACATGGGGAAAAAGGAGCAACCTGGCAGTAGGTGAACTACAGAAAAGAGCCCTTCCTGAAAACATTTTGAACAGCAGGATAAAATTGGCTACAAAGAGAAAAAGCAATGATACCCTGACTGCTGTTAAATTAATAATGTGAACAAATAGAGAAACAAGTTTTTCCTCTCTACTTCAATTTAAACTTTTTCTTGTACCATTCGCAGTGGTACCGAGATAATCATACATTTACACTGTAAAAACTTTTGGCATAATTGTAGCATTTTCTTCCTTGAATCCTCTAATATTAACCCCCCAAAATCCCCTAAAACTCTTTCAGTATCTCCTCATAAATGTTTCTTTAAATAGTAATAGCTAAAAAATTTTTAGACAGAATTAAGAATATTCTTTTAAACTTCATGGGACCCCTTTCATTGCAAACATTCAAACTAGGAGGACATTATAATAGCATAAAGAACACTTACATAAATTCTGCTCTATGGAAGAAATATAAAGGGAATAAACAATAAATGATGAAGTGTCTGTAAAGAGATCACAGGAAGCTTGCTGAGTTGCTGCCTTTTTTCCTTCTCCCAGAATAAATGTAAAAATACTGCCAGTTTTAGAATACACACCACAGTCCTGGCATGAGAAGCAGTGGGTTTTTTTTCCTCCAGTGAAGTTTTATAATTTGTGTCTTCATGCGTTTATTGTTTACTTGGTTCTGCCTGTGACTGATTCACAAACAGATGGACACAGTGAATTCCTGGAGAAGTCCTGCAGTTTGATTGGATTGTTTATTTGCAGATTTTGGCTAAGCCTAGGGAAATATAACAAGGAGAAAAGCCTAAGGTCAAAATTTAGATGCAGGTGTTTTCATAAGCTTTCAGCTCTAGTGCTGACTTTCCATATGGGTATGCATTTGTTACCATGTTTGCTCACATGGCCCTAGTAATTTTATTTTTATTAGTAATAACCTTTCTTTCAACAGCTACATTACACATGCTTTGTTTAGTTTTTGTTTGAGAAAGAGTGCCCAACGTTTTTATAAGGCACAAATTCTCCACAATCATGCAGAATTATTATGAGACATAATCTCCACCGTCCCATGATATTAAGGTACATATGGTCAAAATTTGAAGCCTCTGCTTCATCAATCACCACAGGTTTGGGCCAGAACATGGCTCAAACTGAATGGGACCCATGACAGTGTACAACCAAACCATCCTGTATCTCTCAGCACAGTCTCCTTTTAGCCTGTGTATCAATTTCTAAGACAGTTAATTATACACAGCTCTTCCTCCCAGCATTGTTGAGAGATTAAGAAAGACTAAACAAAGTGACTTTGTGCATATTTAAAGCAGTTGTTATAGGTTGGTTCTTTTTCCATTGTGCAAACGTTGTTTACCTGAGGACTGCTGCTCTTAGTTACACTACACTGTAATGGGTGAGGTTTGTTTTTTTGGTTTCTCCCCTCCAAGAGGGTTCTGGTGTGTAGATTCATGCTTATATGAACCCACTCGCTGAATCCCTTTTGCATCACAAGCCCAAACAAATCTTACTCCCATGGAGTTCTGCACACAAGTGCCAACTAAATTATAGTGAGAAATCAGGTGGTTCTGCATTGATTTTCCAGCTACTGGTTCCCCTAAATAAAGGAAACATTGCATTTCACTACATTACATTGAAAGATAAGTTTTATATTTTTAACATTCTCTTGGGAGCAGAAGAGAGGGTACGAGTCCTTGGATTGGAGACATATCATAATTTTACCATGGCAATTTCTGTATCATATCTT